AATCAGTTGCATGCTTCATTGAAGGTGAACGTAGACACTCGATAAAGGCCTTCACTCCAAACATAAAACATAAGCATTGATTTATACACATAAATTTGTGGCATAGGTAAACCGCAGCTCCATCCGCAGCAAACTCCAAGCGTGCCCCACTTTTGTCCAAACAATCTCCTCCGTGTGCCATTGACCACCAGGACGTATTGCACCGGCCGCCGTCTGTCGCGGTCTCTGCCGCGGAGCGTCTCCACCGTCACCTGTGGACGGAAGGGCGTCTCCAGCCATGGACCGAAGTCGGTCAAGTGCGCCAAGAGAAGTGGCCAGGAGGGTGCCAGGCAACGGAGGTAGCCGAAGGTGATGTCCTGGGGGTCCTTAATAGGAGGCGTTTTTGACAAAAACATTTATAGTGAGTATACGGAGTATAGCAGCATGAGATGCTTTTGGGGGGGAGAGACTGTGATGGAGCTTTATCTGCTTCAATTGCTGCAAGCAGAACTTACAAAGCGCAAGTCACTTGCATAACAAGTGTTACGGATACCCGAAGTTTAGAACAAATCACAAATCGCAATCCTCCTCAAACCTTTAATCCAACTCCTCCGCCCTTTGGTTCGCGCATTGGCTGTAGCTGCTCCTAGGCTCTTGCTATTCTTGCTGCCAAGGCTCGCACCACTGCAGTTCTGAGAGGTCCAACTCCTCCCTTCCGCCCCACTGAGCCGGCCACCGTTCCAGTGGGATCCTGCCGGAACGCTCGCTGTTCCGAAACACGCGGAGCTCGGGCCACCTGGACCCAGGAGTTGGTGTGTGTTGGCTGGAGGACCCCCGCCTGTGCGACCCAAACAGAAAGGCTGGCGAGTTCCCAACGAGGTCCTTAGGATAGTCAAGCTGGATGCCATTGCTTAGAAGACCTTATAGAAGTATCTTATATGGAGCGACGAACGTTCATCACCCAGAGTTGAAGTATCCGATCAAAATGGGCCTGGCATATGCTCCCAACAAACTCCGAATGAGGCCTCCTACATCCTCCTACCAAACCAAACTGGGTTGACCAAAGCAAGCACCAGAATCCTCGACGAAGCTCTCCAAGCACCTGAACATGGACCAGGGATGACCAGGGTCAATTCCTTCAAGATTAGCAAGGCGGCAAGTTGATGCAACTCCATTCTGCAAATCCAATTCCAAAAGACTCCCCCATCCGATATTCCAACACGAACTCGCCCGATGAACCTCTGCTTTCTTTTCCCGCTCCTCATGGCCAGTCCAACCAGCAACGCCAACTTCGCCCCGGGCGAAAGCTGCGAAGCGTGGAGAGTGGAGACCAAGTGCAGCTCCGCTGCTCGGAGAGCTTCGAGCCGAACGTCCAGGCACCAGAGTGACCTGAGCAGCGACAGCGATGGTCTACTAGGCAGTGGAAAGGGGAACTAGGGAACTGTCAGCAGGGTGAAAGAACCATGGGGTCAATGTGATGATCATGAAGATGTGGGATGATGATCGAATCATGCAGGATGTTGGAACCACAAACATTTGCATATGGTTTAACCACTCGGCTCAGCAGCTTCGGACTCAAAAACCACATGGCATGCCACTCTTACAATACCAAACTATAATTTCTACACCCCTTGCTCAGGCAAGCTTTGGGCCCCACAGATCTACGTCACGGTGCTCCTCCTCCGAAGCATCTGCTTCCCCCCCAAAATGCCCTGTGGCGCCGATCTTCCGCGTCTGGTTGTGGCCACACTCCGACTGCGACGACTGCGACTGGTTGGTGCCACGTGGCATCAGCAGGGAGAAGGTGACCGCAACGTCCAAAGGACCGTCGTCACTGCCCAACAGCTGCGTGGCGATCTCCAACAGCTCCTGGTGGCATCACGTCATAAGGATGGTGGGTCCAGGTTGGTCGTCCGTCTGGCGGAGAGATGAGCTGCCAAGCTGCCAGGTGGTGGCTGGAAGTGTGGGTTCTATCCATCCATCCAGGGATGCGTGATAGAACATGCTGGCGGAAATTGGGCCGTGGCTCGCAGTTTGGAGTGCTTTACACTACTTTACACAAGGCTGGACGATGTGAACGTTTTTCATGTTTCTGTAAGCCATGTGGGTGTCCACTTGGAGCTGTCTGAGAGTATCATGGACTATTCATGACTTATACTCATTCAATCCCAGCCACTTTGGGTGGCTGAAACCGCGCCACTGCTAATCCTGCCAGGGCTGCCGCCAGCGCGGGCGCAGGCCAGGCGTGCGAGGGGAAGGCTCCACGCATGCTGGCGGATGTCGCGCTGGCACGCGCCAGCAAGCGAGGGAGCGGGCCAAGGGCTCCGGAGCGGCCACAGGCAGCCACCAATCCTAGCAGGCTGTGGCTGTGGGAGGGGCACAAGAGTTGGTATGAGGCGACCCCTTGTGACGCCCAAGGTCGGGCCACGGTCACCAGCAGGGAGGCAAATATACCAAACAAAGCCTGCACCCCAAGAGGTCGTCGTGCAAGAAACAAGTCCACCGTGTTTCTCCAACAAACCAGCAGTACTCATCCCGGCTCTCACTCTGAAAGGATTCGGATTGTGGCTGACACCTGCCAGGGTGTGGTCATAATGTCCCAAAAGCCCGCCAGTGCACTTGAAACAAGGTTACAAAATGGTTACCAAAAATACAAATATCGCATCAAACACATAAGGGAAATATAAGCCAACCATCAATCCATGTTGACACCTGAATCACTTCTAAAACCACGGCAGGGGCCTACAAACGTTCCGGTGTCTCTCATCATCCGGTCACGTGTCGTCAAGCGCATCTTCGCTCTCTCTGCAGTTCGGGCGTCGTGCTGTCGTCTCGAGCCCATGCGCCGCGTCGGCAGCGTCGACACCGAGCCAGGTGGTGCTGAGCGATGCACACAGCTCCACATCGTGCAGGCGGGCGACCGCCAGCTGAAGCAGCTGAGACTTTTTTTGGGGGGGGGCGGCCTCTCTCACATCATGTCATCCTTAGGTGCTCAAAAAATCCTTCAGATTAAGATAGATTAAGAGATTAACTGTGCTTCCAGGACGTGATTCTCGCAAAACTGCACGGTGGTTTAAAGCGGTGTGCTTTATTTCCCGGCGTGTTTTCATGAGAACGCTCATGTCAAAACTGATCCCATGGGCGTCCGTCCCTTTGAACCAAAACACCTCAGATCCATCACCGACCAAACTCATCTGGGGAGATTCCGAGCGAACACATCATGTGGCCGCTCGCAACCTTCGAACGAGCCTTGGGGGTGGCTTTAAGCACCGAACGAAGCACCGAACGATAGATGGATCGGGTCGATCGGTCCTGTTTCTTCGTGCCACCACCCCACCGGGCCCCACCTGCTGCAGCAGCGCTGCGCCACTGGGCAGCGACTGCTCGGTAGACGTCGTCAGCGTGGCGGCCAAGGCGCGCAGGAGTGCGGGGCTCGGCTGGCCCAGTGGCGCCAGGGAATGGAGCAAGCGCAAGGCGTCGGAAGGGTGTAAGGTACTGGCAGACTTGGCCAAGGCCTTGGGTGACAGGCCTGTGACCTAAGACCACCTGTCACTACCTGTACACTTGGACAATGGGTTTCAAAAGCCTTTGATAGGCTAAACATGGCAGACATACACAGACTCACTCGTCTGATCTCGTCTGTGGCAGGAACATGCCCTCAACTCTCCGGTAGGTCCAACTACATTCTTTTTGGCTGAGCTGTGGAAGTAGCAGCATGTTTTTTGCTTCAAGTCATTTGTCACATCCAAAGTTTTTGGTCTTAGAACATTCTGTCTCAGGCTCAGGGGTCTGTAATTATTCCACCTCTTATAACTCAACCAGCACATCTGTGATGCCTCTCGCCTCCTATACCCTTTCAACTTCCGGACGCCAACCAATCTCAAAAGCGAGCAACCAATCCCACCAAGCCCACCCATGTTCCCCTCTCCGTCTCCCTCACTCACTCCATCATCACGTGGAGGGACAAGAAGAGGGGTCTGCTTGCCTCAACCAGGGGGTCTCTCTCTCTCTCTCTTAACGCCCAAGGCTCTGCCAGCAGCGGCCCCGCCTCCGCTCCAGCGCCCCA